GCCAGCGTCGAGAATGGAGGGAGGCGCTACCTGTTCAAACCTGTCCTTCAGCATGTCCACATCCTTCCTGAGGTCTTCAACTGTGACCTTGAGTGCATAAAGATCCGTAAGCAAATCCTGCAGGGTCTGTATGGACTGGAAAGGGAAAGAAGAGGGAAACTATGAAGTTGGGTGTGGCTGAAGCAGAAGGCAAGTGCAGTACAAAAGCTTCCCAGTGACAGGGAGGGTCCTCCCTGCTCTCCCAAGGCCTTAGCTGGAAGGTACTCAGAGGCAAGCAAACGGTGTCCCAGACATGGCGCTCTGGACCCCAGGCAGCCTACATGGGAAAGAGGCGACTCAGTGTGTGAACGCAGCCAACAACAGGGGCTGCTCATCACAGAGCATCACTCCCTTCTCCGGGTGACACGTGTCAGCCAGGATGGTGACTGCAAGAGGAAGGACAACCTGTCCCTCGGGAGGCCCTCAGAGGATCAGAAGTAGGGGAGATGCAACTAGATTTATATTTTTTAAAGATCCCTCTGGCTGCATGTGGAGACTGGCTGGAGAGAGCAAGAAGAAAATTCAGAATAGTGAGTAATTTCCAGGCAGGCAAGAACTGATGCTTAAAGGTGGGCATGGTGGCACATGACTGTAATCCCACATGACTGTAATCTGGGAGGCTGAGGCAGGGGAACCCAAGTTCTAGCCCAGCCTGGGCAATTTAGTGACTTAGTGAGACCCTATATCAAAAGGCTGCAGCTGCAGCTTACTGAAAAGGCCCTGAGTTCATTCCCCAGTAGTAAAAAAAAAAAAAAAAAAAACAAACTGGTGGGTGTAATGCTAGCCTTATAGCACACACATATAGTACATGATTATCTCAACTGATGCTAGAAAAACCACTAGATACAATCCATCATGCTCGTTATAAAAACACTCAAGTCTGGCATGGCAGTATATGTCTGTAATACCATTACTCTGGAGGCTGAGGCAGAAGGAATTGCAAGTCTGAGCCAAGTCTGGACAACTTAGCAACTCAGAGAGACTCTGTCTCAAAATAAAAAATAGGAAAAGGGCTAGGGATGGAGCTTAGTGGGCAGACCCTCCATTCAATCCCCAGTACAACAAAGAAAGCAAAAGCAAAAACACAACCCACTCAATAAACCATGAATAGAACTTCCTCAACATGATGAATGATAAAAGGACTCAGAGTTGGAACAGGGTGTGCAGCTCAGTGACAGAGAGCTTGTCTAAGATGCGTGGACTTTTAGGTTCAACCTTGAGCACTATGAAATAAAACAATCCCCCCAAGACAGACTGAGTAGTACAGCCAATGGTGAAAGGCCAGACAGTCTCCTCCTAAGATCAGGAATGATTCAGTGTCTGCTCCCACCCCTGTTCTCTGCACTGTTCAGAGGCTGTTTCCAGGGCAATTAGGTTTTAAAAGGAAGAAAATGGTATCCAAATTGGGAAGGAAGTAAAATCACTTTGCAGAAGACATCATCTTGCAAATAGAAAGTCCCAAAGAACTCACCGTTACAATGAATAAAGGAGTTCAGCAAGATTGCAGAATATAATATCTGCATACAAAAATCAAGCCAGGTAGCCAAGTGTGGCGGTGCGTGCCTGTAGTCCCAGCACTTGGGAGGCTGAGGCAGGAGGATCACCAAGAGTTTGAGACCAGCCTAGGCTACATAGTGAGTTCAAGCCAGCCTGAACTACACAGTGAGACCTTGTTTCCTTAAAAAAAAAAAAAAAAAAAAGTCAGGGCTGGGGATTTAGCTCAGCAGCACAAGCATGGCAAGTGTGAGGTCCTCAGTTCAATTTCCAGCACCCCCTCAAAAAAATAATCAAGCCAGGTATGGTGGCATATACCTGAATCCCAGCTGAGGCATACACCTGAATCTGGGAGGCTGAGGCAGGAAGATCACAAATTTAAGCCCAACCTGGGCTACTTAGCAACTTAGTAAGACTCTGCCTCAAAAATTAAAAAAATAAAAAAATGTACTGGGAATCAAACATGGTAGCTCATGCCTGTAATCTCAGCCCTCAAGTGGCAGAGGCAGAATTGCCACAAGTTCAAGGCCAGCCTGAGCCACATAGTCAGTTCAAAGTCACCCTGAACTACATAGCAAAACTCTGTCTCAAAAAACAAATAAATGTATTCCTAGACATATATAACACATACTCAAAAAGTGAAACTAAAAAAGTAATTCCACTTATATTAGCATAAAAAAAACTGCAAAGTTACATATTAGTCTTTGCAGTACTGGGTTTCAACCCAGGTTTTGGGCACTGAGCTACACTCCCAGCATTTTTTTTGCAGGGGGGTGGTGGTCAAGTTCTTGCTAAGTTGCCCAGGGTAGCCTTGAACTTCTGATCTGCCTCCCTTGGTCTCTAGAGTACCTGGGGTGATAGGCATGCACCTCTGAGTCTGGCCTCAAAAATACATTTGAAAGAAAACAAAGATGAACTTAATTAAAAAATTTAAATCCCCTATGGATCAGAACCTTTGACACTGTTAAAATGGCAGTTCTCTCCAAATTAGTCTACAGTCCCAACCCAATTCCCATCAACTCACTTCTTCATAGAAACTGGCAAACTGATACACATGGAATTTCCAAGGAGCAAAAATAGCTAAAAACTCTTCTTTTTTCCAGTGCTGAGAATGAAACCCAGAGCCTCACACATGCTAAGTAAGTGCGCTACCACTGAGCTACACCCCCACCTTTTTATTTCATTTTAAGACAGGGTCTTGCCAGGTGTGGTGGTCCACCCCTGTAATCCCAGCACTTGTGAGGCTGAGGCAGGAGGATTGTTGTGAGTTTGAGGCCAGCCTGGACTACAAAGTGAGCTCAACGCTAGCCTGAACTGCATAGGAAGACCCTGTCTCAAAAAGCAAAAAAAAAAAAAAAAAAGACAGGGTCTTGTTAAATTGCCCATTCTGGGTTCAAATTTGTGATCCTCCTGCCTCAGCTTCCCAAGTAGCTGGGATTGTAAACATGTGCTATCACACTCAATTGCCAAAATAATTTTGAAAAAGAACATAGAGAGCCTCATCCTTCCAGATTTCAAAGTTTACCACTATACAATGATAACCAAGATTATATGACAGGGCTGGGACATAGCATAGTGATACAACACTTGCCTAGCATGTACAAGGATCTGGGGTCCATCCCCAGGACTGAAAAAAAAAAAAGATAATGTGTTTTTTTTTGTTTTGTTTTTTCTCCGGTACCAGGAACCGAACTCACGACCTTGCGCGTGCCAGGCAGGCGCTTTTGCCGCTGAGCTAAACCCCCAGCCCAAGATAATGTGATACTAGCACAGAGATACACATATAGATCAACAGAACAGACTTGAAGCTGAGCATAGTGCCGCATATCTGTAATTCTAGGGAGGCTGAGGCAGGAGACCAACCTGGGCTACATGGAGACCCTGCCTCAAAAAAAAAAAAAAAAAAAAAGATTTGGCTATTTAAAACTGTGCCGCTAAAAACATGGGTGAGTATATATTGCTGTTGTCCATCAGCTGCTGAACGGATAAAGAAGATGTGGGGCTTTTTATACAAAGAAGTACTACTCTGCCAAAAAGAAGGATAAGCTCAAGACATCTCTAGGTAAATGGATGCACCTTGAGATCATGCTCTTAAGTGAAATAAACCAAACATGCATGTGTAAATACCACATTGTTTCTCTGGTGTGAGAAACCAAAAGTGTAAATAAGAAACAAAATGTATAATAGGTATTGAGAAACCGGAAGAAAATGTCCACATGGGGCGGGGATCAAGTGGTAGGGGAAGGAAAGAAGTGAAAAGTTCAAAAAAAAAAGGAAATAAACCTTTTGTAAATGGGGTGAGGAGGAGGGGTTGAAGGGAGGGTAGGGGAATGTGAAGAAAAAGAAGTAAGCTATATCATGTACAGGTACAAATTCTCTATGATAAATGTGATCATTGTGTATATCTAAAATGTACCAATAAAATCTGATTTGAAAAGAAAAGATAAAGAAGATAATTGAGATCCCAGAAATAAGCCCATGCAGCTACAGTCAACAGATTGTCAACAAAAGCACCAAGATGATCGGATGCAATAAGGGAGCCACGTCTAAGGAACGGTGCCAGGACAAATAGATATCCCTGTGGGAAAGCGGTATCCAGTTGAGGAGACACATACCTACATGCCCAGCTACTTAGGGAGCTGAGAAATGAGAGGGGTTTGAGAGTCAAGGAATTTAGGGCCAGTTGAAGACCGTGTTTCCTTAAAAATAAATAAACAAACAATAAATAAAAACTTATACACCAATGTTCATAGCAGCACTACTCCTAATGGTTTACAGATGGTAACAACCATCCATCAATTGATAAGCTAAATGTGGTATATCCATGTAAAGCAAGTACTGACATATGCCCCAGCATGGGAACAAACCTTGAAAATATTACCATAAAATGAAAGACTTTGGGCTCAAGAAGGCCAGGAATGGGGAGAGACTGCTCACGGTTAGTGTTTCTTTCTGGGCTCTTGAAAATGTCCTAAAAGTAGACAATGGTGGTATTTGTACACTCTATGAACACTCTATCCTATAATCACTGAATTGTACACTTTATTGTTGTTTTCTGAAATAGGGTCTCACTATCTAGTTCAGGCTGGCCTTGAACTTACTGTGTAGCCCATGCTGGCCTCAAACTCATGTCAACCCTCCCTCAGCCTCCAAAGTACTAGAATTACAGGCATGCACCACCATATCCAGCTAAATGCATGAATTTTTTGGTGTGTAAAATAATGAAGTGGTTAAAAAAACAAACAAACGAACAAAAACAGCACTGCCAGGAATACAGCTCAGCAGCACAAGCGCCTGCCTGGCAAGCACAAGGTCCTGAGTTCGATTCCTGGTACAAAAAAACCCAAAACAGCACTTTTGCTTTATAAACAATGGGGGAAATTTCCAGTACTGTGCTATTGTCAGGGGTTGCTAACTCTGTTGGGAGTGACAGTGCTATTACAGGATGGGTTTGCAGTTATTCTGCTGTATAAGATGTTCTTCAAAGACAGACCTGCTGTGTGCTGACTCCCACCTCTCTGCGGGTGCTTCCTGTCTCCATCTATCTCCCTGGGGAAGGCCAGGGACCAAATACCCCAAGCAAGGGTCACTCCTACCCTAAA